AACTTCAGTGATCGTACGGAAACAAGCGTTTCAACGTAATGAACATTATGTAATTTTATATGAGCTCACAACATCAGCGGTGGATGCTGGCCGTATGGCAGTACGGGTTAAACTTTTTCACCAATAAGACATATTTCCTGGTTTGATACTGATGACAATCTGGCAAAATGACGTCTGCCGTCAGAAAGTACATAAGAAGAAGAACACCTGCACACAGAAAAAATTACACCTGTCGACATTCATCGACGATTACTCGACGTTTACGGAGACCAAGTAGTGGATGTAAGCACAGTTAGTGGGTAATACGATTTAACTGCGGCGACAGCGACGAGAGTGAAAAGGAGGACAACAACTGTGGATTCAAACCCCTTACTAAGAGTCGAGTCCTATTTTAGACAATTAAAGAGTTGTCATCAATACAAAGTGAAAGCGGAAACCACCTCGTCTAAAAATGTGCGACCAGAAGAATTTTGAATGTCGAAGTGCATTTTATCAGATATTCATGTCACTAAATTTGGTCGAATAAATTAATCAAGTTTTCATTTATTTTTTTTCCTTTTATCATAAAACTTCGAAATTCAGGGATTTGTGACTTTTATTACAAAGAGTATTCGTTCCTCGTCTTCAGCGAATGAATTTTATGAAAGAAAATTCATTGCTCTATCATCTGTCTTCATCATCCTAAAAGCAAACAAGAAATTAAAATTCGATTTGTTTAGAGCGTTTGCAAACGGTATTAGCTTAAGAATTCAGATAAAAAGAATTAGAAGACAGCTAAATTTAACCATTTCTAAATATTTGGTCACTGGAAATATCTGCCAAGTTCAATGTAAATTGCTTCGTAATAACTTCATCCGTCAACAAGCGCGCAAATTGAAATAATTTCAGTTTCTTGTTTTCGTCGTGCGGAAATAGTACACAGAGTCATAACACGCGTCACGGATATCTCGACGCGGCGTAATGACCAGCAAGCGTATCTCGCTAAAACAATTACGGCTGAAGAGTCAATTCGATCTTCACTGGGTGCTCCGTACTTTCAACCTTGTGCCACATCTAAACCACGCTAAGAAAATCACCATAACACGCGTCTGCATAGTTTTTTTTTTAATCAAAAGAAACACTTCTCCATTTATGTGCTGTGTTTCTTCAGGATGTAGGCAATCTCCTATCCTTTGTAACTCTGAGCACTGTTTGTCTTTTTACTATACATTCCTCTCTTTGTTTGCTGTCCATTTACAAAAAGCTTGTTAGGTTACTCAATGTTACCTTCTGACCCTTTTGTCTTCAACATACACCTTGTTAAATTTTCCAAGATCTCTAAAACAGTGCTTATGTTAAAGGTAAGAAATTTTTTTGTAATTATCTAAACATTTACTTGGTTTGAGGACAGGTAAATATTGAACGTTTGTAGTCAAGTCTAGACGCATTTAGTTGATTTGAAGATAGGCAAATATTGACCGCTTATATTTGTGTCTCTAAATATTTACTTGGTTTGAGGATAGGCAAATATTGAATGTTTATATTTCTGTTATGGTCCGGTTCCTTGTACCACGGTGATAGTCCAAGGTAGAACCAATAAAGAAGAACTCGAAGGCGGATATGGAATAACACAGATATATTACAAACAGGAATATATACAGAGAAGTAGAAGTGTTAGTATGAACAATCAGGTTTAGTAGAGAGAACAATGTAGTCTCGACCAGTATCACTATTTCAATGTCTTGCAGTAATTGACTGAACGCGACTCTGTTTCGGACTGCCTCTGACTCGACTCTTGACTCGACTTGAACTACTGACTCACGAAATACTGACTGACTCGAACTACTGACTTCACTTGAACGACTGACTAGCGATATTCAGTCACCCCCCCCCACTGGGGCAGCATGTGACACAAGGTCGGTTATTTATTGTGGGTTCTCCGAGCCCGTGGGCTCGGTCCAAAAATATGCCCATTGAACCCGTATAAACAACTCAGGGCCGATTTACCTCCCCGAACGAGACTCCGCCCTTTGGCGTAGCCTCGTTCGGGTTCCTCCCCGCCCGAATGCAGAGAGTTCAACCGAACAGTCGGTTCAGAAGCGAACGACTGACTAACGATATTCAGTCACCCCCCCCACGAGGGTGTCATGTGGCACAAGGCCTTTTTAACGTGGGCATTCCCGGAGCCATTAGGCTCGGCCAAAAATAGCTTTTGAACCCGTATAACGGGTTCTGGGCTCCGATTTAGCCCCGAAGGAGACTCCGCCCTTCGGCGTAGCCTCCTTCGGGTTCCTCCCGCCCGTCAAACCCAGCAGTCTGTTCAAAAGTGAACGACTGACTAACAATATTCAGTCACCCCCCACGAGGGTGTCATGTGGCACAAGGCCTTTTTAAAAGGCATTCCCGAGCCATTAGGCTCGGCCAAAAATAGCCCATTTGAACCTGTAAAACGGGTTCAGGGCCGAGTTTACCTCCCCGAAGGAGACTCCGCCCTTCGGCGTAGCCTCCTTCGGGTTCCTCCCGCCCGTAGGAAGAGAGTTCAAACCCAGCAGTCTGTTCAAAAGTGAAGACTGACTAACAATATTCAACCCCAGTTTTTTAATGTTCAGCCATTAGGCTGAACGACAGGGCGAGATCTCCCCGAAGGAGATATTTCGGCGTAGTCACCCCCCCGTACAAACCCAGCAGTCTGTTCAAAAGTGAACGACTGACTAACAATATTCAGTCACCCCCACGAGGGTGTCATGTTTTTTTTAACGTGGGCATTCCCGAGCCATTAGGCTCGGCCAAAAATAGCCCATTTGAACCTGTATAAACGGGTTCAGGGCCGGTTTAACCTCCCCAAACGAGACTCCGCCCTTCGGCGTAGCCTCCTCGGGTTCCTCCCACCCGTAGAAGAGAGTTCAAACCCAGCAGTCTGTTCAAAAGTGAACGACTGACTAACAATATTCAGTCACCCCCACGAGAGTGTCATGTGGCACAAGGCCTTTTTTAACGTGGAATTCCCGAGCCATTAGGCTCGGCCAAAAATTCCCATTTGAACCCGTATAAACGGGTTCAGGGCCGGTTTATCTCCCCGAAGGAGACTCCGCCCTTCGGCGTAGCCTCCTCGGGTTCCTCCCGCCCGTAGGAAGAGAGTTCAAACCCAGCAGTCTGTTCAAAAGTGAACGACTGACCAACAATATTCAGTCACCCCCCCACGAGGGTGTCATGTGGCACAAGGCCTTTTTAACGTGGGCATTCCCGAGCCATTAGGCTCGGCCAAAAATAGCCCATTTGAACCTGTATAAACGGGTTCAGGGCCGGTTTAACCTCCCCAAACGAGACTCCGCCCTTCGGCGTAGCCTCCTTCGGGTTCCTCCCACCCGTAGGAAGAGAGTTCAAACCCAGCAGTCTGTTCAAAAGTGAACGACTGACTAACTCCCTGCCTACTCCTGAGGCGCAGTATTTATTAAGTATGGAATAGTCCATTATTATTATTATGGGTAAGATCCCATAAGAATTTGAATTTATAATAAATAATAAATTAATAAAAAATAAATAAATATATCCGGTTAGAGAGATAGGGCCTATAACAATTTTATGGGACTTTACAAGACACACAGACAGAATAATCAAAGGTAATCGTCCAGACATTATGATCAAAGACAACAAAAACAGAATGTGCTTTTTTATAGACATGGAAGTTCCTGCAAATTGTAATGTATCTTTGAAGATCTTCAAAACACTATCAAAATACAAGAATCTTGAATTGGAAATCCCAATGAGAAATGTGAAATCAATAATTGCAATTGAAGTTGGAGTCCTCGGATTGTTTGGAAAAGGTCCTGATAGACACATTGAAAGGATAGCTCATGTCTTAAAGAAATACAAAAAGACTCTACTCTCTAAAATTCCGTATAAGCTTTCTTTCTATCTTTTACAACAAAATTATTGTCCTACATCCAGGTTTAAGCAGTTGGTGTATTTTGTCGGCAAGCTGTTGATCTTGAACTCTGTTCGCATCAAACCAGTGTTGGTGCTTCCGTAAAGAATGTCGAAGAACTTCAAGAAATGTAGAGAAAACTATATACCTAAAAGATTTTCATGGCGTCTCTATTCCATGAATCGGGAGCAAAATCGACTCCAGAGAAGAGTTCATCATATTTCTCAGCAGATTTTAAGAATAAAACATTCAGTTTCTTTGGAATAGATGGGTTACGATGACGCTTCTTAGATGATAGATGGAAATCAATTTTACTACGTAACTCGGCATGGTCAGATAAGAAGCGAGAAGAATGAAAATAATGGGTGCAGCTGAAATCACTCAAATGGCGTATACGTGGTAATCACAAAATCAATCATATGTCAATCCTTCGACCGGGCTGTTTTACGCTTTATGGGCTGTTGCAAAAACGCATTTGTAATGCAGAGAGCAAACGCTTTACATAACAAAAGAAACCGCATATTGTTTCCATTTACAAAACCAACAGCACTAGGATCAATCACTCCAGGCGCGTACGATGGCCGCATTCAACATGACCATTAAAATCTCCCATGATAACAATTTTTAAATAAAGATGGATATTTGAAATAACATTTCTTAGCTGATCATGTTCTCAGCTTGTGAAGGTCCTTTCTTGGACGTAGGCCTTCGCCATATCTCGTCAACTTGCCGTCAAGTGGAATGGGCCGTTACCCTACAGGACTGCTCCAGTGCGTGTGGCTAGGTGCAGATGCGACAAGTTTGGGCGATCGTCTGTCTTTTCGCTTCATGACTGACTTGGCAGAAGAATTCCCGCAGTAGGCTGCTGTTATTTTTTGCAATAGACCGGTTGCCAACCAAGGCTACAGGACCCAGTCTATCCTCCTATTTAACCCATAGCTGGTTGGGGGGGGGCGGAGACGAGATGGATTCATACTTTTCCCAATGTTATTTATGCGTAAGTAAATCTAATGAACTCTACTGGAATTTGAACTCGGATCTCCGATTTCTTATTCCGAGACATTATCGATAACACCACCCGCACTTCCAAGCTTACGCACCTAGTATTCCCAAACGGTCGCCCATCTACATACTGACCTGGCTCAATGTTGCTTAACTTCGATGATCGGTCGAAAATCAGTGTTTCACCGTGATATGGCCGTAAGCTTAGGTGATTTAAGCTTAGCAATTTTAGATTTTTTTTGTTGACAACATGCATTTCAGAATCCATGTTGTCAAAAAACAAACAAACAAAAAAAACAAAAACAAATACAAAAAATTGTTTCCCTCCCGTCTAAAATCTTCAAATCGGTTCAAATGCAACGCCAACCGCCATCTTCCGTCTTCTTGAACCCCGTTCTTTCATTCTCCTTTCTCTTTACTTCTCCTAACTAAAAGTTTACTCATTCGCTTCCAATCCCAGCAACCCCTTGCGTCCTAGTGGCATTATCGCCTTGCTTGCAGTGAAATGGTTAAAAACATATTCGAGTTTAAGATTTAGAAAATCTCTTTTGAGGAAATGGGACAATTTATATTATAATTCGTCGGCTATGCGATTTATTTTTGTAAACTAATAGACTATTTCTAATGTATTTCTAATCATAGCGTTTGGCAGGGTTTGACATACTGGTCTTCTTCATAAGTTAAAAGGCTATTCTATTTCCGGGCGAATTTTTGAACTGATTCAATCTTTCTAACCAAATCTCGAAATGAAAGTTGTCCTGAACGGCCAATCTTCTAGATCTTTTTGTACTCATGCAGATGCCAGCAAGGGCTCTATCCTTTGACCTACCCTGTTCTTAATTTTCATCAATGAATGATATCAGTTCTATACTGATGACACAACAGTTTACTCCAGTCTCGATAATAAGTCTGATTAGTTCGATAAGTTCAAATTGACAGCTGATATATAAAAATGACCTATAGTCTGTTGTTAATTGGGGTAAGTAATGGCTTGTTAATTTTAACGCCTCCAAAACGAAACTTCTCTCTGAAAGACCTCTTCATACCTCCCATCAGCATGGCTGATACTAACCTCCGTGAATATGACTATGAAATCAGTTATGAACTCTGACTTTAAACGCCAAATTTATGATAGCCAACTTAGCCAATAATTTGTTTTTTTTTTCAAATGCTTCGTTTATGTGTTATGATCTTAATAAATTTTTCTTATAAAAAAAGATTGTTTTTAGTTGTCAGTACGATTGTTTTTTCTGACACTTGTTAAAAACGATGAAAGATCTCGTGGTTGTAGCCTTGATGGCAAGCCCACGAACAAGAGATAGATCGTGATAGGCGTCATAATAAAACCTGACAACCACGAGTTATTTCTAATTCTTAAATCCGAAACGTATTTTGGATTATTAGAATATTTGCCAAACCCGTTCAGAAGTATCTAAACTATCAGCTGTCTACAAACGCTTTCTAAGAACAATGGTTAAAAATAGCCCACGAGTGAGTGAAGCGTGTAGGTCTGTGCCAGATAAAAGAAACTACTTCATTTGAGGACTTGCGAATCGAAGAGAAAACATAATCAAGATGACTTTCCACACTACCTTAAACAAAAGCTTAGGAAGGAAACTTCCCTCACTAATAGAAAGAGCAATAACAGTTAATGGGCTTCAGAAGCCTATTTTTCTGAAAAACTATTTTAAGAGAAAGATGTTATAAATTTCAACTGAAAGCAATACTAGCTGCTCGGTCAATGAATGCCAAATGTTTCCTTATCAGGAAACGGTTAATATTACCATTGCCATTATCATGGTGCATTTATATATATGAGATAATCTGGAAAAGTTATAATATTTTTAGTTCAATAAGAAACTAGTTCATTCGGACCGTGAACAAATAATCGCTATGTTTTGCGTTTGTGTTGGTTATAATTTTTGTATAAATAATCCAGGATGTTGCATATTAAGAAATAGGAATTCTGTTTTCTAAATCATTAAAGTTAAAAATATATTAAGAACACTAATCTGGTCGGAACCGTCGAAAAAGACGGAAATATTGAAATAATTTTGGAGTTTTATTGGTTATAGATTGTGTACTATAAGTAATGTAGGATTTTTATCTCTACAATTAACTCTATTGTCGTGTGTAAAAAAAATCGTTTTGTTAAATCATTAAAAGCAAAATATTCAAAGAAAGCTAGCATGACACTCACCATCAAAAATATACGACCACATTTAAGTAATTTTGCAATTACTTTGGGTATAGTTTCTGTATGAAGAATATACGATTTTAAGCCATTGCAATTAACTCTATTGTATAATAGTAAAGCAGTATTATTTCTTATATAAATAAGAATTCAACTATTAAAGCCAAAATATTTGAAGAAAGCATAACACAAATATTACATTAAAAATGACGGTGATATTTAAGTACTTTTGTAGCTGCAGTGGTTATAGATTCTATACGAGTCATACATTGGTTTTCAACGAGTTTTATGGAATTTTGAACCGAACCCTTTATTTAGTCCACAGGGGGTAGGTTTTTCTAATTCCACGTGCCATGCCTTCGGATATCTAAGTTTTACTTAATTCGCCTTGATAACTCAACTCTCCAAGATTTTGTTCTCTCTGCTGAGGCCAGGGATAAAAGCGTAGACTAAATAAAGGGTTCGGATCGAAATTGCATCAAATATCACATGAAGAAGGCCGGAGCGA